GCCACGCTGCCCCGCTCTGCCCCTCACTCTCCCTGCCCAGTCTCAGGGGCCTCACGGGGTGTCTCCCTGCTGATCCCCATGGTCACTCCCCCAAACAGGACGGCCTCCATCCCCCTCACATGTCCTTCTGCCTGCCATGTGCCAGCCTCCCGCCACTGCGGCCTCTGCCCAGGCACAGGCCAAACCACCCCAGCTCCCCGCTCACCATCCAGCCAGTTCGTCCCGAGGGCCCCTGACTGAACTCCAGGACTTGGGGGTGCCAGACCCTGTGACAACATGGGGGCCCCAAGACAGGGCCTGCCGGTCACTGACTCCACCTGCAGGGCGAGGCAGAGGCTCCTGCCACAGCCTGTCCTGGTCTGGGCCTCTGCAGCCTCTGCCCAGGCCCACAGCGGACAGTACCATGTATCAGGGCTTCCAGGACAGTTCTCTTGAGGGACCTCTTGTCCTCCATCCTGGGCCAAGACCCAGACGAAGTCAGCTGGAAAGGACAGACAGGCTCACAGTGCAGAGGAGGCCGAGGGCCACCGCTCTGTTGGCTCGGGGTCCTGTGGGCACCGCCCGTCTGTAAGAAGGGAAGGCCAGCAGCTCCCTCCAGTCCCCGCTGCCCACAGCCCTGCCCTCCCCACCGCACCTGGGGTGCAGACGCAAAGACCGCAGCCCAGGGAAAGGCGCCCGGCAGGTGGCACAGGGAGCAGCCTCCAGGGAAGGGCCCTCCGCTGCCTAGCCCAGGGCACACCTAGCGGGCGAGTGCCATTGGGCTGCTGAGGCAGGCTGCTGAGCACCTCAGCCGTGCCCAGGCCGCAGGGCCCTGGCCCGCCAGCCCTAACCCAGCCCCAGGGCCGTTGGAGAGACCTGCGCGTGGCAGTGCTCCGGAAACGCCCGCCTGGCCTGTACTGAGGCCGGGGCTGCAGTCGTGCCCCACCCTGGGCCTGCAAACCAAGCCAGCACCCCAGGAGCCCTACCCAAGGCCCCCCAATGTGGCGGGGAGTTGCTGACAAGCCTGAGCCCCTCGCTGCCAACAGTAGTCTAAGGGTAAAGACGAGCACATCCCAGCACCTGAAGTCGGGGGTCTGGCCCCACACGGCCCCCTGCAGCTGAGAAACACATGCGTGTGCGTGTGCGTGCATATGCCTGTGCGCCCGACAGGACACGCAGGTGGATAGGGCTGTGGCACACCCAGCCACCAGGGTGTGTCCTCGCGCCATCTCCACGGAGAGGACGCGCCCTCAACAAATGAAGGAAAAGCAGCCAGAGACAAGGTGAGGGGGAAGGGGCCCCCGCACACGAGGAGGTAGGGCTGAGCCCGGGAGCTGGCCTGGGCCCACCTGGCAGGACCCGCATGTGTGCCCGCGGTGAGACCCCGGGAAGCAGGCGCTGGGAGCCGGCCACCAGCTCCGGTTACAGGCAGGCCTGAGGGCCGGGCGCTGGCCCCGAGCCGGCCGGGTGTGCCCAGGCAGAAGGGATGCCAGCAGTCAGCCGGGTCCTGCTTCCTGCGCTCCCCGTGGCACTTCTAGGAACGTGGGCTGGCACATCCTGTCGGGTGCTCGTGCCGTCCCTCCGTCCTGGCCTGCCCTTGGCACAGCTGCTCCTCCCCATGGGGCCAGGAACCCCCAGGGCAGCTCAGGGGCCGGGGCCCACACTGACCCTCGGCCCAGCGGAGGCCGCTCTAGCTTCCTCTTTCGCTGTTTGTTTTCGAAGGCAGAACTCCACACGCTCACAAAACAGGAAACGCCCGCGGCGGCCAGGCCTCGGCCTCGACCACGTGCTCGGCCTCCACCGACCTCGGCCTCCACCGACCCCTGCCTCTGGCCCCTCCACCGGTGGTAAGGGTCAAGGTGTAACCCGCCCGCCCCAGGTCAGCCACACTCCAAGGCCACCTCTCTGGGGGACAGAGCTTCACACCGCCAGCCCCTCAGCCAGCCGCAGCATGGCAGCCCACCCAGACGGGGCAGGACAGCCGGGGACACTGAGGTCCGGGAGGCACGGCAGCCTGCCTTCTAGCCTGCCAGGCTCAGCGGGCTGGGGCAGGTCTGCAGCCTCTGCCTCCCGTGGCCCTGCTGAGCTCCTTGTGGGGGTTGGCAGCAGCGTCCCTTTGCCCATGTGCCCACCAGTGTGGACCCTGGGGACTACCTGCTCTCTGGAGAGGCTGACATGAGCCTCCAGGCCTCTCCCTGTGGGTTTGCTTGGCAAAGTCAGGCCCTGGAAGAACCGCTACAGCCCCCACCCAGGACCGAGCCGGCCTGTGGCAACCCTCAGAACCTCTGCCACCCATCCTCCTGGGGGAGGTCCCCCAGTGGCGCGGAGGTGCCAGGGCCGGCCCAGCCCCCCGAGGCCCAGACGCGGGCCTCCTGGAAGCACGAGGGCCTGGGCTAGAGGACTCCGAGCCGCTTCCCTCCTGCTGGGTCCCTCTTGGCCAGCAGCCAAACTGAATGAGCCAGGGTGCCTCGGGCCAGACCCACTCCTTACCCACGGCCCACAGCCTCTTCCTCCTGGGTGCCTGGCTGCCCCACCGCACAAGGACATGGAGGTCCTCATGGCTTCCTGGGCCCGGGAGCAGGCCCTCTGCGGCACTAGGCTGGGTGCCGTCGGGCAGAGCAGGGCCACCACAGGAGGGGACTGGAGCTTCCCACCGCTGTTGTGGAGGACCTGGCCCTGCGCATGGGAGCCAAGGGGACAGAGGGCCTTGAGGACAGGCTTCCTGGGCAAGGAATGGGCTTAGGCCATCGTGCGGTCCAGGCAACAGGAGTGGCCAGCTCCTGGCAGCTGGTGCACTGTCAGCTGCCCGCTGCCCGCGCCATGCCTCCTTTGGGCCATGGGGGCTGGCGGCAGAGGAGCCGGGGACAGGACCCTCTCCCCACCATGACCGGGGCAGCTGGCAGGGCCTGGAGGCTGCCGGGACTGGCAGAACCGATTTGGGGCACGAACCAATCTCCACCCCATTAAGTGCTTGCCCATGCCACCCCACTGTGTGGGTCGCAACTGGGGCCCAAGAAGCTCAGCTCCTGGCCACCACACCCCGAGGGGCACTCCTGCCTGGGCACAGTGGCTGGGACAGCAGTCGGTCGTGCGGCTGTATGCAGAAGAGGAGCGCAGCGCGGAGCGGGCGGTGGCACACAGGGCAGGCCTCCTCGAGGGACCTGGAGGTCAGCAGTGGAGGCTGGCAGGGCTGGGCCCCAGGGGCAGCCAGTGTCCAGGGCTCCATCATGCAGCTGACCACACGTGGGGTCCTCTGCCCCCAGCGCACTGCAAGGCATCTCTGTCATCTGCCTCTTCCCCTGGCTGGGGGGGCTTTCAGGGCCTGGTCTGCTGGGGAACTCTTACACATGCCACAAAACCCCATCTCACGACACCCATTTTTCCCATGCTCCCCTACCTGCTGAGTCTGGAGTCCCCCAAAGATGTGGGATCCATCTGCGGGAGGGCATGTGTAAGGAGGCGAATTGATGGCATAGGGTCCCCAGGACCAGTCTACAGGGGCACAAAGTCAGGGGTGCTGGCCAGTCCCTGACTGGGCCAGAGGGAGAGGCTTGCCCAAGTCCTTGGGTGTGAAGCCCAGCCCTGGCAGGTCAGAGGGGCCAAGCGGCAGCCCCACACCCAGCAGTGAAGAGTGAGTAGGACGAGGGTGGAGTGGGGTGCACCCCGTCCCAGCAGCTCCTCCCCAGGGCAGCGACAGCACCGCCTAGGGCAGACGGGGAGGGAGGCGGGCGCCATTCAGGCAGTCAGTCCTGGGGCCAGCACCAGGCCATGCCAAGCAGCCCTACTCTGCCCTCAGGGGCCCTGGGGCAGCGCCCGGGCTGCCAGCACGCCCGCCCTGGGACAGCCAAGTGTCCTTGCCTTCCAGGCACACC